GTGCAAAAGTGAAAAAATGATGACTTATGGGATAGATATCATACTTCTACCAGAAAGATCAAACAAAATTTTGGAAGTATTCATGTAAATAGAAGTAAACAACAATTGAAAAAAAAAAAAAATTGCATAGGAAAGAAAAAATACAAAACTCAAAAAAAAAGTTTGTATTACAAAGAATACAAAGCTGATAAAAGCATTTACTGGAGACATAACTAACAAGAATATAAATAAAAAAGTTCTAAATGCTTGAAAATTAAGCTATATTAAACTATAACGTCTTGAAAAAAGATCTATAGTAATTAAAATGTTAATAAAAACCTAATAATTAGCTGGTATGAATATAAAGAAAATAAATTAAGAATAAAAGGATGATACGTAGAAGAGTATTAGAAATGTAATTTAAAGTAACAAGCTAAAAAGTGAAATAAGGAATAAGAGTTTTTAGGAAATGAAAAAAAGAAGTTATCGTCATAAGGGTATTTAATGAGAGTCAAATTACAAAGATTAAAAAACCACAACAATAATATTTAAACGAATTAAATTTAAAAAATGAGATATTTCGTCAACCAATGTTTGTATATGTATAGAGAATTAAAACAACTTATTACTACAACAAAGGCTGGTAGTTTTTTTTACCGGGTTACCGCGACAATCTATTGGCCTGGTTACTGAGGCCTCCCACTCACTACCTATATGTGGTGGTGTCTTGTGGCACCCATTTACTAATTCTTTTATAGACATTATACCTATCTTACCATAAGCACAGTGGGAATATCTACGGTGAAACACCTTGCTAGTTAAGCTGACACTCTCTGCACTAATGGTGCATCGGGTTCACTCGCCACTACATAGCCTTTTTCCGGAGAGGACTCTATTTTTTATAGCGTTCACTCCTTGGTGGTTAAGCCAGCGCTCTCTGCCGAAGCATCGGATCCAGGCTATTAGCATCCGTGAAGAAGCTCCTTGTTTCAGGGACCACTCCTCGTCAGTAAGGACGGCAATCCCTACCTGGCGCATCGGATCCTCTAACCCCTACCTATAACCGTAACACTGTTTTTCATTCACCCAGGCCCAAAGATCTGTGGGGCAAGGAGAAAACTCTGGAATTACTTTGATGGAAAATTCCACGGAAAAACCCCGCTCCGAAACAGCCGGCTTTACATAGGAACTTTTCTTGATAAAACAGTTTTTAAAAAAATTTGTATTTACCGGGAATTAAACCTATGACCCCTAGAACAGCGTTGTATTAGTAACAAGCACGTTTTCCACTGAGCCAACGCTGCTCCTATAAACGCTAGTAGTTATTGTATGGCAAGTTTTATTTAAAATAATACTTCATCATTTAAAATGTTTCGTACTTTAAACTGTAATTATCAATAGTTTTAACCAAAAACATTGAAATAAATTCCTAAAGGGTTAAAATAACTATTATACGAGTTAAAATGTTTATTTAAAAAACAGTAACTATATTTAGAAATTTCTTCGCCACTGTAAGTATAAAAAAAAAATTGGTCAGTCAACTTATTAACATTTAATTCAATATTAAGCGATAAATAAAGGTTGATGAGCGGAGATAGGAAGAAGCAAGCCGTTGTTAGCATATTTTTATGTATTACTCTTAAGAAGTCTTTAAAATTGATCTTGAATGAAACATTAATTAAAAAAAATAACTTGTTTTGTTAGTAATGCATCTGGGTTAGAGTAATTTATTAAAGTTTGTAAGACGTTTAATTACAAATAAAAATTGTTTTTTTTAGGGCTACTTTTGTGTTGGCACTCATTATAACAGTCAGCTACTCAGTAACCCGTCGAAATATTCCAGTACATAGTACAGACATAGTTGAGCCTAATAAGAAATTAGAAGCAACAGCAGTAAAATTAAGCAATGGCGTGTTTGACCAGATGACTTTGCTGAAGATGCCGAAATTATCTCGACCACCAACTGCACATGGTTTAAGTGCGGATGAAGTTAAACTGGCTGTGGTGGCAGGCCAGGCAGCATTGGACGCCCGGCAAGCTGCTGACTTAATAACGCGTCCATTTCCCTCACCATCACCGAATTCTAGGCACCAGTACTCTCTAAGTACAAACTTGAGGGCTGACCGGCTAGCATTAACGGGAGTTGCTGAGATTGCAGCTACACGTAACCTTGAAGCTGCTCGCTCATTCATGGGCAGGTCTTCAAGTTTTGGTAGTTACTTAGATGGAGGATGGTTGAGTGACAGTGTTTGTATTGATAACTGGAATGTATACTGCCCAGTTTATGCGGCCAGGTATCGTAAATTTGATGGTTCCTGTAATCATCCGGACCAGCTTGGCATGGCTTTAACGCCTTTTCAACGCACCCTACCACCGGACTACGCTGACGGTATCGATGCTCCAAGGATTGGTGTATTTGGAAATCCACTACCATCTGCCAGAAAAGTGAGTCTTAAGGTAAGCCAAGAGTGTTAATATCTATTATTGGGTCTCAAAACACTTATAAGTTGTTGAAGCATGAAAATTTTTTTTACATTTCTTATGAATGCAAAATTATAGTTGCACTATAAAAGGAATAAAATAACTTTCTGTTAGGTAAGTTTTTTTAAATACAATTTCTTCTATTTATAAAAGTGTTAAAGAAATTGTTTGAGATTTTTAACGAATTCTTGACGTTAACAACATAACTTTTGTGTAAGATGTAAGAAGTTTTAAATACATTAAAAATTTAAGTAGCAAGCGCTTATGGCTGAATGAAAGCTTTTTCTCTTCTTACAGCTAAAAGATGTTTTTTTTTTTTTTCAAGTTAATCAATAAAAATTAATGTTAACTTTGTATTACCATAAGCAACTAAAATTTTAAAGTCGTATCGGCACGTGAGTTCCTTTGCACACTATGCATACCCTATAACTCCACATTGTAATCTTAGTAATATTGAAATTCAATCTATATTTTTTATTACTTTAACAAATTAAAAGCTCCTACCAATAAATAAAAGTGTATAAGCAACTGAAAAAAAAAAAATTTTAGCGAATTAAAAAACAAATTTAGTACAACTTTTCTTGTTTTTATGGAGAAGATTGCATGTGCAGTTTGTAAGTTTCCTCTTATGGCGTATTTTTTAAATTGTATTATGCTAAATTTATATTTGGCGATTTTGGACAACTTTGAACAGCAGATGGCGAAGCTGGCTCAAAATAGATCTATAGTAATTAAAATGTTAATAAAAACCTAATAATTAGCTGGTATGAATATAAAGAAAATAAATTAAGAATAAAAGGATGATACGTAGAAGAGTATTAGAAATGTAATTTAAAGTAACAAGCTAAAAAGTGAAATAAGGAATAAGAGTTTTTAGGAAATGAAAAAAAGAAGTTATCGTCATAAGGGTATTTAATGAGAGTCAAATTACAAAGATTAAAAAACCACAACAATAATATTTAAACGAATTAAATTTAAAAAATGAGATATTTCGTCAACCAATGTTTGTATATGTATAGAGAATTAAAACAACTTATTACTACAACAAAGGCTGGTAGTTTTTTTTACCGGGTTACCGCGACAATCTATTGGCCTGGTTACTGAGGCCTCCCACTCACTACCTATATGTGGTGGTGTCTTGTGGCACCCATTTACTAATTCTTTTATAGACATTATACCTATCTTACCATAAGCACAGTGGGAATATCTACGGTGAAACACCTTGCTAGTTAAGCTGACACTCTCTGCACTAATGGTGCATCGGGTTCACTCGCCACTACATAGCCTTTTTCCGGAGAGGACTCTATTTTTTATAGCGTTCACTCCTTGGTGGTTAAGCCAGCGCTCTCTGCCGAAGCATCGGATCCAGGCTATTAGCATCCGTGAAGAAGCTCCTTGTTTCAGGGACCACTCCTCGTCAGTAAGGACGGCAATCCCTACCTGGCGCATCGGATCCTCTAACCCCTACCTATAACCGTAACACTGTTTTTCATTCACCCAGGCCCAAAGATCTGTGGGGCAAGGAGAAAACTCTGGAATTACTTTGATGGAAAATTCCACGGAAAAACCCCGCTCCGAAACAGCCGGCTTTACATAGGAACTTTTCTTGATAAAACAGTTTTTAAAAAAATTTGTATTTACCGGGAATTAAACCTATGACCCCTAGAACAGCGTTGTATTAGTAACAAGCACGTTTTCCACTGAGCCAACGCTGCTCCTATAAACGCTAGTAGTTATTGTATGGCAAGTTTTATTTAAAATAATACTTCATCATTTAAAATGTTTCGTACTTTAAACTGTAATTATCAATAGTTTTAACCAAAAACATTGAAATAAATTCCTAAAGGGTTAAAATAACTATTATACGAGTTAAAATGTTTATTTAAAAAACAGTAACTATATTTAGAAATTTCTTCGCCACTGTAAGTATAAAAAAAAAATTGGTCAGTCAACTTATTAACATTTAATTCAATATTAAGCGATAAATAAAGGTTGATGAGCGGAGATAGGAAGAAGCAAGCCGTTGTTAGCATATTTTTATGTATTACTCTTAAGAAGTCTTTAAAATTGATCTTGAATGAAACATTAATTAAAAAAAATAACTTGTTTTGTTAGTAATGCATCTGGGTTAGAGTAATTTATTAAAGTTTGTAAGACGTTTAATTACAAATAAAAATTGTTTTTTTTAGGGCTACTTTTGTGTTGGCACTCATTATAACAGTCAGCTACTCAGTAACCCGTCGAAATATTCCAGTACATAGTACAGACATAGTTGAGCCTAATAAGAAATTAGAAGCAACAGCAGTAAAATTAAGCAATGGCGTGTTTGACCAGATGACTTTGCTGAAGATGCCGAAATTATCTCGACCACCAACTGCACATGGTTTAAGTGCGGATGAAGTTAAACTGGCTGTGGTGGCAGGCCAGGCAGCATTGGACGCCCGGCAAGCTGCTGACTTAATAACGCGTCCATTTCCCTCACCATCACCGAATTCTAGGCACCAGTACTCTCTAAGTACAAACTTGAGGGCTGACCGGCTAGCATTAACGGGAGTTGCTGAGATTGCAGCTACACGTAACCTTGAAGCTGCTCGCTCATTCATGGGCAGGTCTTCAAGTTTTGGTAGTTACTTAGATGGAGGATGGTTGAGTGACAGTGTTTGTATTGATAACTGGAATGTATACTGCCCAGTTTATGCGGCCAGGTATCGTAAATTTGATGGTTCCTGTAATCATCCGGACCAGCTTGGCATGGCTTTAACGCCTTTTCAACGCACCCTACCACCGGACTACGCTGACGGTATCGATGCTCCAAGGATTGGTGTATTTGGAAATCCACTACCATCTGCCAGAAAAGTGAGTCTTAAGGTAAGCCAAGAGTGTTAATATCTATTATTGGGTCTCAAAACACTTATAAGTTGTTGAAGCATGAAAATTTTTTTTACATTTCTTATGAATGCAAAATTATAGTTGCACTATAAAAGGAATAAAATAACTTTCTGTTAGGTAAGTTTTTTTAAATACAATTTCTTCTATTTATAAAAGTGTTAAAGAAATTGTTTGAGATTTTTAACGAATTCTTGACGTTAACAACATAACTTTTGTGTAAGATGTAAGAAGTTTTAAATACATTAAAAATTTAAGTAGCAAGCGCTTATGGCTGAATGAAAGCTTTTTCTCTTCTTACAGCTAAAAGATGTTTTTTTTTTTTTTCAAGTTAATCAATAAAAATTAATGTTAACTTTGTATTACCATAAGCAACTAAAATTTTAAAGTCGTATCGGCACGTGAGTTCCTTTGCACACTATGCATACCCTATAACTCCACATTGTAATCTTAGTAATATTGAAATTCAATCTATATTTTTTATTACTTTAACAAATTAAAAGCTCCTACCAATAAATAAAAGTGTATAAGCAACTGAAAAAAAAAAAATTTTAGCGAATTAAAAAACAAATTTAGTACAACTTTTCTTGTTTTTATGGAGAAGATTGCATGTGCAGTTTGTAAGTTTCCTCTTATGGCGTATTTTTTAAATTGTATTATGCTAAATTTATATTTGGCGATTTTGGACAACTTTGAACAGCAGATGGCGAAGCTGGCTCAAAATATCCCATCAACTGCACGATCGACTGTTACCGCTTGTACGCCTCATCTAAAAGCATCTTTTACTCTATCTCTCTCTTGCTCTCTCTTTCTCTTTCTTTCTTTCCCCCCCTTACTTTCTCTCTCTCTCAAAGTGTTGAAGGTTATATGTTAAAAGTTGTACGTTAGGTTTGTTCAATGATTTAAACGTTTAAAGTCGGAAGTTTTCTTGGCTTGTAACTATGATCTGCGGTTGCGTAAATATATTACTATGGTACCTTTTTGGTATAGTACCTTTGAACGTGCTGTCAAACAGTGCAAAAGAAAAATGACCTTGAAGTTAAAGTGTGACTATAGATAAAAAACATAGCTTATCAGCATTATTTAATTTCGTACAACAATCAGTTACAATGAACAACACATTGCGTAAGGTAAATGTACGTATTATGAATACAAACGCAAAAGCTGTCCATAATATGAAACAAGTATGTAAATATGCCTTTTTCTTGTACATAGTCACTAAATGACGTTAAATAAAAATACCCTAAAAATAACTAAAATACGCACTTTTTGGAAAAATAAAAATAAAAATCATTGCATGCACATTAATATTAAAAATAATACAAACCTGTCCCTTACCAAAATCACTCGAAATCGACGAAAATCACGAATGAAGATGGCAGAAGCAAGGCAGTTTTTATTATTGTTGTATTCGTATTTAAAAGTCGCTAAGGGTAATAAAACTTATTTTTAAGTATAAAATAGTGTCCCTAAAGTATTTATTTCCCGAAATTCCTTTAATAAACGAATAGTAAAGTTAATTACAACCGTGTTTCAAATTGTGTACCATATTTTTAGTGTCTGCCATATCTTGAAACGACCGCTTCTATGCGTTTCATATTATGGTCATGAGATATATATGCTCATGTACGTATCTATGAAACGTTTTGTTTACAGTTGATTTCGTTAAGTCACTGTTCCTGTCAGTCTGTTTTTTTACTATTTACGAAGGGATTTCGTGCGATTTACGTAAAAGGTGCTGTTTGACTGCAAGATAAAAATATAAAGTTTTCGTTTTTCGTTTTGTTGGAGGCATACGTATACTTTTCTTGATTGTATCAACGTAAGTATTCCTGTGATAAAATTCTAACCTCAATTGTAGCGTTAAGTGTCATGTACTTTGACAACAAAAGTTTAATAAAATAAACGTACATTTGAATATACTTAACGTTTAACAGAGAGATCAGTCAGAAATGGCTCGAGTAAAAAAAACAAAGGAAAAAAAGAAATCTTCAGGGGCTGGAAATTCCATGCGTAAAAAAGAATCGAAGGCAAAGAAAGGTGTCAAGCAAAAGATAAAAATGAAACGAAAGCAGTACACGCCCGAGACCATGGAGAAGGCATTGAAAGCATTAAAAAGTGGGAAAAGCTTCAGAGAAGTCTCAAAAAATTTTCAGGTACCAGTAACAAGTATTTACAGGAAACAAAAACATCCAGAGACCCTGCATGCAAAAAGTGGACCGCCAACCGTTTTATCTAGCAAAGTAGAAACAGAAATCGCAACTTGGATTAGGTACCGTGCTGCAAGAGGATGGCCAGTGACAAAAGACCAGTTATTAGAGGGTGTCAAAACGTATGTTGAGCATTTGAAGTTGAAAGTGCCTTTTAAGAACGGTGTACCTGGGCGACACTGGTACGAAGGGTTTTTACAGAGGAATCCTGAGTTGGCAATTCGAGTGCCGCAAAATTTGACACTCAGCAGGTACTCGGTGACGCAAGAAAACGTTTTACATTGGTTTGCTGAGGTTGAAAGTTATCTAAGAAGTAAAGCATTAGACAATATTGAAAGTTCTCGGATTTTCAACTGCGATGAAAGCAGTATTCAATTGTCCCCTCAGTCACAAAATGTATTGACTGAAAAGGGAGCTCGCAGAGTGTATAAAGTTATCACAAATGGAGAAAAGGAAGCTATTACAACTCTATTTATGTACAGCGCAGACGGGACACGATGTCCTCCCATGATTGTATATAAATATAAAGAGCATGTGCCCAAAGCAGTGGCAGAAAAGTGTCCCACCGGCTGGGGGATCGGAATCTCGGACTCGGGTTGGATGACAACCGAGATATTTTTTGAGTACATGACAAATGTGTTTTACCCTTGGCTGTTAAGTATGAAAGTAATATTTCCTATAATTCTGTATTTTGATGGCCACTCCTCGCACATGACCATTCCGCTCGTACAGTTCTGCAGAGAAAGGAGTCTCGAGTTAATTTCTCTATTTCCAAACGCCACTCATATTTTGCAACCACTTGATATCGCGTTTTTTCATCCCTTTAAAAATGCGTGGAAACAAACAGTTACCCAGCATCTAGCTCAAGAGGATGTTATTAAACTTACAAAAGACAATTTTGCTCCTACTGTTAAATTAGCTTTGGATTCAATGGATCAAGAAAAAAACATTATTATAAATGGTTTCAAGTCAGCTGGGCTCTTTCCATTTAACGCAAAAAATGTTAATTTTAAAATGATGAAAAAGAAAAGAAAAAATTCTGATCAAACAGAAACCACTTCAAGCTTTGGATTCAATGGATCAAGAAAAAAACATTATTATAAATGGTTTCAAGTCAGCTGGGCTCTTTCCATTTAACGCAAAAAATGTTAATTTTAAAATGATGAAAAAGAAAAGAAAAAATTCTGATCAAACAGAAACCACTTCAACTTCTGACGTATCAGGGGACGAATTTCATGGTAGTAATTTTATGGTGAAATTTCAAAATGGTATTGACAAAGGCCTTTTGCATAGATTTGAAGCTTGTTTCAACAGTAGACATTGGGATGGAGAGTTGAAATCAAATTTAAATCTTCTTGCATCTATTATAAAAAGTTTTGATGAATTACGTGAAATTCGTTTTACAAAATTTTTTTAAATATTTAACGTAGTTAGTAATGTAAGATTTTAATTACATTTTATTTTTTAAACATTACTTTAAAAAAATCCGTAGCGTAGGATTCTGTACGTGACAAACGGATAAACTTTGTCATTATTTTTTTTTTAGATTTAAAATCCAAGCCTGTTATTAAATCTATTGAATCCTTTCATACCCATATTAAAATTGTAAGAGAACCTCCACCTGAGCAATGTCAAAGTTCCACTGACAAGATACACTTGTATCCGGCTACTCAAGAACAGATTGTATCCCACTCCGAAGAGGATGGACACGAACAATCTGAGTCTTACTGCACATTATCAGACGTTGTCGTTGAAGCAGGTTCATGTATTCCTGAACCGAGTAGGTCTGATACCCCGCAACTTTCTAAAGAAGCTTTTAATATCAAAGACATGTCCATTCATATTCTGGCAGATGGTGTGTTTTCTAGCGAGCAAGCTATTCAGTTATTTTATTAATTTAAATATTTCTAATGAACATTAAATTTAAGAGTCCACTCAGCCAATTGGAAATATAGTCTTAGATTTCGAAAACGTCGCTAAAAGTCGCGGAGAGAATACTTTGCACTCTCAACAAAGCCAAGATATTCACCAGAAAAGTTTCGAACAAGCCTTTACACTCCCGGAAAAATATTTACCTAAAAACAAAAATACTTTGCACTCTCAACAAAGCCAAGATATTCACCAGAAAAGTTTCGAACAAGCCTTTACACTCCCGGAAAAATATTTACCTAAAAACAAAAAAGCAAAAATTGCAACAAAAGGTAAGGAGAAACTTCCAGCTGCGGGAACGTCAGACCAGTGGCTTACATCACATTTAGAAAAGGAAAAAAAGCAATTAAAAAAAGAAGAACAAGCAGCAGAAAAAAAAAATTACAAGAAGAAAAAAAACAGCTTGCTGAGCAAATGAAAAACTTGAATAGTAAAATACGAAATATTAAAAAAGAGAAACCTTAAATAAATATGGTTTAAAAATTTCTTTTTCAAAATCTCTATCGTTTAATAGAACTCTAACTTGCGAACCATCAAAAACTCCTGCACTCATTTTGGCTTCTGACAAATGTGGAAATTTTAGAAAAATGTACTGATAAGCCTCACTTTTATTATTTTTTATTGTTCATAATATGGACTTTCATTATGAAACACCCGGACAACGATAAAATAAGTGTTCCATACTATGTACATAAAGGCATCGTTGAAATTATTTAATTATAGTTAATAGAATTATTCTGTTAAATTCTAATTTTAAGCATTTACTAAATCGAAAGTTTCCCCGTCAAATGGTACTCATTTTATTTCTCCACGCGTAATTATTTAAAAGATAAGAGCTATTAC